GAAAAGGGCATCCGGATTCGCGTATTATAATGTCTTGCACGAGGTCTTGGCCCCGCAATCAGCTGCAATAAAACATTAAAAAAAAAAAAAGGAAAGGAAAGGTAAAGGAAACCTGGCTACCTCTTTTTACGTGCACGCAAGACTTCGCTCGTAAAATCGTTCCAGAGTTCAGGGAGAAAGAAAACGAGCACCGATTTTTGCTTTGCACCCATCCATACCCAGAGAGTGAACTTTCGAAAGATTCCGAAAGAGCCAACTCGAATAACGTGAACGTTTGTTGGCTGCAATGCTCGTGTAGAAAATCTTACCAAGTTTTATTTTTTTCTTATTTTTTTTTTTAAATGGATAAAATATGGATTTCTTTATCCTTATAGGCGAAATCTATATACATTATTGAAATATTAGTTGCAGAGAAATCGGTTCCAAATCGGTTTCACCGATATTTTTGTCCTTTTAAATAATTTCGTACGATGAAATTGATCTCTTAATATTGACATTTTAAGATCTAAACAATCGTAATTTATCGAATTGCACTTTAATGGTTTCATCGGAAAAGAGATATTTATTATCTTGAAGTAACCTTGAACTTAGAAACAACAACTTGAAAAATTAAGGGAATCGAAAGGAGAAATAAATAAAAAATTAGTAAATATTGCTTACTACAATAGTAATATTACTTTTACACGCGTGTCGTTTCATTCATAATTTTCTACATGGAAATTAACCATCGAAAGTATACATACCTACCGCTCGACTAGAGAACAAAGTAATAAATTAAACGTTTCGTGCGTATAACAACGTTAAATACAAATTTATTACCGATTCTTCAGATTTATATTTCTACAAGAATGTAATTGGAAAGCATCGAGTTAATTGAATTAATGCGATACCGGCAACATTTATTTGCACACGTGCCTCTCAAACCGTGCTTCAGCAATGACGTTGACGCCTTCTGAGCGATTACGAAACGCAAAGGTTTGCACATAACTCCTGTCACAGCGGGGAACAAAATTGACTGTGTAATTTCCATTGGAATTAAAATTCTTTTCCCAGGACATGCACGCAATTTTGTAAGTTATTAAACTGTTCTTTAAATCGATCTCGATATTTAAGTGATCCGGTGGATAACTTTTTAATTGAAATGAAAATCTTAATAAATGGAAATGGGAGAAAAATTGTTTTTTGAGAAATAACGAAAATAGATTAGAAACTATTACTGCTAAATATAAATTCTAGATTCGAATAGATATATATTCAAATATTTGATTACGTGAAATTGATAAATAATTGTTAAGAATTATCGTTACAATTTGAAATTCCGGATATTTCATCTCTGAATTTTAGATCGATTTACCATATAATAATTTTTAAGAATTTAATTCGATTTAATAAAAATTTCTAACTTCAAACCTTCGTACTTATTTTCCAAAATATATCAACGTATCCAAACTACAAACGAACGTTCTAAAATTTCTTCGTACATACAGAGAGGAATATTCTAACTAATAAGAACCGAAGGAATACCAGAAATATATAAGCATAAATATTTCCAGGTATTCAACCAGATTTTCTGTATCGATCGAAACAAAACAGCCTCGATCTTCCGTCCGGTCTCACAGTTCTCGCGTGACTTTTCGCGGTACACAACCGAATACCAGGAAGGAAAACAATAATTAATGATGTCATCGGTCGTCAAAAGCCCCGTGCTGTATCGTGGGCGCAGTTATCGCGGCCGTTTATCGTTCGTGCCACCACGCAGACCGTTATCAAAGCGTTCGAAGCGTGCGAATGTTTGCGACCCGTGTCCGATCTTTGATGGCCACGATGCCGTCAATGGAGGCCGCGGTAGTGAGAGAACG